TATTAACTAATATAAGTTTATTTTGAAATATACAAATTAATTTTTAAATCTAACAACAAATTATAATGAATAAAGGTGATTTCAAAATTAGTAGTTTGAAAAAAAAAAGTTAATGTGCTTTTGGAACACATACAAAATATATAAAATTAATCAAATAAACAACTAACTAGATAAATTATTATGAAAGCAATACTTTAAAAAAATGTCCTATGTCTCATTATATTTCCTTGCAAGATTTGCTCTAATAATAGCACAATAGGTTCACCTCTATTCTTAATCATCAATTGTTTAAAAAGAAATACTAAATAAATATAAGACAAACTCAAGGTAAAATAATGGAGGGGGCATAGATTGTAATTACATAAAATCTAATGAAGTTCTCAAATTATGGTTCTCAAAGTAATTCTTAAATTATTATTATCATATCTATCTTTCACTTTATACATTTCTTCCAATGAAACGTCCATTCGACACAAAAAAAAAAAGAAGCAAAGCCTTACTTAACAATCTTTCCTTTGGATTCCCCTTATTATCCTTAATGGCAAATGGTCTACCACAAACAAAATCCATTATGCATAGATAGCACAACAAACAACCCTTTCCAACAAAAACTGTTTCAAATCTTAATGTTTTTCATCTCTTCGATTACATTCCCAAAATATTATCCTATCATCCTCATGTTCATTTCACTATCCATAACCACCAATGTTATACGCATAAAATCAAATTGTAAAAGTGTTTTGATAATCCCACATGTGATATTAGATCACTCTATTCATAAAAACTTAATAAACTAATCAAATAAATTTCAACCTCAAATTAAACAAAAATAAACATAAAAAACCTTTAAAATAACAATAATGAAATATATTTTTTTAATAATATAATGATTTACATTGCTTTCTCCCACGCTTTTCACCATTTATCATCTTCTTCATCCTCTACTACTTATGATCTCACCCATAGATAAAAACCTTCCATTAGTCTTTGGAGTTTAAGCAATAACAACTTTTAGTAGTTGAAGTCAATGAAATCTCATGTTATTTCTTTCTATTTTAACGTAAATCTATGCTCAAATAATATACGATGAAATACACATGAAAATCTAAAGTAACTTACGTAGTTTCATTGGAAAATCAAGAAGAAGGGATTAAACAAAGGTAATTTTGATTTGTTCATGGTTGAGAAATATATATAGTTTGACTAGAAAGAGAAAAATGTGACTAGACAATAAGTTTGAGAGTTAGAGATGTAGAATGTGAATGGGTGTTTCGTTGAAAATATGGATTAATGCAAAATGTGCCTTCTTGTTTTTTTTTTTTCATTAAGAACATGGTCAGATGCAAAATGTGAATGAATGTGAGTTAAATTTATGTTGAGAACATTAATGCATGCACAGAATTTCAATGGACGTAAGTTAAATTTATATTTCAAATTCAATTAATAATGTAGTTAATAATATAACAAATTATTCTAAAACTATGTTTATCTAAACTTACTCTATTTAATAACTCATATTTTACAATAAATTTTAACGATCCAACTATTGAATTTAAAGTTCTTAATACATAGATCAAGTCTGCAAATTTTAAAAATTTGAAGACCATTTGATTTTTTTTATTAATTCAAATCAACGTATAAAATAATTTTATGATTATATGTTAATTTGAATAATGAAAGGAAGTATCAAATGTTTTTTAAATTTTTAAAAAAATTTAAAATCTTGATCTATGCATTAAGAACTTTAAATTCAATTGTTAGATCGTTAAAATTTAATGTAGAACATGAGTTATTGAACAAAATAAGTTTAGATAGACTTACTTCTATATATATATGTATGTGAATATATATATATATATAATCTTGATTGAAATAAAAACATATAATTTTTTTTAAAATAAAAGTATTGAGAAAAGATATAACTTAGTAAAGAGTTTTAATATCTTAAATGAATGGGTTATGCTTAGATGATTGTCAACATTCAAGAATAAATGAATGGATTAATTAATGAGAAACCTTTTGTCTTGATATCAGCAATGTAATGTTAGACCTCGTGACCAAATGTTAGACCTCGTGACCAAATGTTGGTCGTAACAAAATCATCAAACAAAATTTAAATAAAAAAAACTATTAATCAAAAAACACTAATAGATTTGTATTCCAAAAATAATCATGCTCCATCAATTATGTCACAATTTGAAAGGGAATAAGATATGATTTTCTTCAAAACCATGTAGAACAAATGCATTGAATTAAAAGATAAAATAATAAATAAAAAAAAATAAAGTGCTTAAAGCATGGGAAGCTATGAGCTAAAAGGTATAACACTCCAAGATTTTTGCTTATTAATTAAATATTATTTTTAATAAATAATTGGATTGATTTTTTATAAATGTATTTTATTTATATGAAATGTGTTTTTTAATTAAATATATATTATTTTATATTGGAGGGAAAGGAAGTGAATCATAATTAAAATTGTTTTACTAAATGGTTAAATATTAGTTAAGGTTTTAAGCTTTTCATTTTTTACTTTTACATTTGTACTTTGAAGAACTAGGAGAAGAACCGAAGTTCATGGAATATCATCCTAGAGATCTGTGCCCTTTGGCGAGTGTTCACCAAAATAAGGAGGGAGCAAGTAATCTCACTCTAGGTGTGAGATAATTATTGGATAGTGAGATTGATTTCCAATATCTTCTTTGTTGTGTGCATTGTACAAGGGAGAAATACCAAATTGTGACTTGTGTTGTGTTTCTTTCTTCCATGTGATTCTTCATTGCCTTATTTAATGCATTGAACCTACATGTATGGTTAATTTCATATATTAAACTAATCTTCTAAACCTTGAATTGTTCATGAGTTTCTATGAGAACTTTAAAGAAATGCATTATTGGTGATTGTAGAAAAGTTTATATGAGTATGTAATTATATGTAATTCTAGCCTTTTAAAAGCGTATTTGACTTGTTGAAGTGTTTTACTAATTGGGTTTGTAAATTGATAACTTGCACTCGTAGTATGAAATTTGCATTTCTACAAATTTTGAGTTTCTAATAAGACGTCAGGCATCTTCTTAGGCCTGCCAGGCGCCGTTATGACCGAGAGCAAAGTTTGTTCTCTATGTCACTCACATTGGGAGTGGTTGGTCTATGCTAGGAGTGGAAGCTCCTTGTGGTTATCTTGTAGGGCGTAAAGTGAATAATGTCAGGAGCGAGTTATCTCGAGAGCTACATGTGCTCTCTGAGTATGCCACTTTGGGCGTGCAATGGTTGCCATTGGGCGTCATTTTGTGCCTAATGCCTTCTATTTATTGTAATTGATGGTGATTGACTTAGATGATTCTTGTGCCAATTGATGAATATGATTAAGTAAGGTTATTTGAGCATGACTTTGTGATGTTGAAATGGATGAATGTTGCAAATAAATTGATGTTGACAAATCATTGTGAATATGTATTATGATATTGCATCGAGTCTCGTGTGATACAATGATAATACTAAAGTTTGAATAAAATCCTGCACATACCTAAATGTATATGTACCAAAACAAAAATCTTGATGAAAAAAAGTTATTTTCTTCACTTTACAATGACTATATTTTTAGTAATTGAAAAATATCTTAAAATGAATGATGTTTTTGACTTTTCAACGTAACATCAATTATTTATTTTCTAATTTTTTCTTTTACAAATTATTCAATCATCAAATGCATTTATTAAAAGTAAATATTTTAGTAAAATTTTATCAAAATAATAATATATTTATTGATGTACTTAACACATATATAAATTTTTTAAAACTGTTTGCATTGTGATACCGAAAGTATATCATAAAAAATTGTGGGATTGTTAGACATTATTTAGATCAGTTTAGTGATGATTCCCTACCATAAATGAATTTTGCACTTGGTGGAAGACTTAGTGGGAAGCAAATATCCAATCGTTACACGGAAGCATGTAAGAGCCCACTTCCTTTGAAATAATTTCACTGAATTTAATTAAGTTAAAACAAGTGAATGAATTATGGAGCTTTTCTTTCCATAACGAAACTCGTAACATAGGATGAGCACACTGAAGGCGTGATTGGCGTGGCGAGAGACAAAAGACGCCATTTCTTACGAGTCCAAGTCGCATGTCAACTTTGCCTAACAATCTCAACGACTTCTATGTTCTATCATCACTCAGTCAAATTCAAAAAACACCTTTCTTAGACATAACAAAATACACAGTTAAGGTGGTAACCTGTTTTTATTTTAAGAAATGATAATACACAAATAAAGATATAATAATTGAAATATTTTTTTTTTCATTATACACAATTTTTAGATTTTTTATCCTTATAAATTTTATAATATATCTTATTTTATCATTTATTTATAGTTAACAAAAAAATTATTCAAACCTTTCAATTATTAATTGCCAACTATAACTCAACTTTAATTAAATTTATCTTTTGTTTTCTTTAAATACATGCAGACATAAAGTATTTCTTTTAGACAAGCTAGCATAACAGAAGTACGAGACCTATTTTAGTGTATATTTCTTTTACTTTATTTAGACTTACTTAGAAATATTTTAAGAAATAATAATACACAAAGAAAAAACATAATAATTGAAACAATTTTTTTAATTAAAATAATTTATCTATAAATAAAAGTTAAAATAATTTAAAACTAATTAAAAAACTAAATTATAAATACCTCAAAATATATTTTATCAATAAAATAAAATTAAAGTTAATATAAAAATAGGATAAAAACATATTATTTTTATCATTTATATACCTACTTTAACAGATAATTTTATTAACATTTATAATTTAATAAATTAGTTTAAGTTTTCTGATACGAGCTACATTTTCAACAGCTTTTAACAAGCCTATTTATATTCATCTTTAAAAAATTCATAAAGTATTGCCATTTTACTCCATTCAAATGTAAATCGTTTATACTGTTATTCACTTATTCTAATATAAATACCCACGAATGACACCCTGTTATCGTTATTATTAACATAAAAACTCTGTTGAAAGTTAAGTTGTAGTAGTCGTATTCACAACCAATATGAAAACTCGTAGTTCTACGAAGATCTCTGCAAAATGGGTTCCAATTTTTTCTGTATTTTCCTTCCTTATTGGGATGCTCATAACTTCCAGGTCTCTCTCTCCATCATCATGTCTCAACTTTTTCTCTTTACTCTTTTTATCATATGATTCTTCTCAGTTCTGGATTTGGTTCTGTTTACTTTCATTTTATCTTGTTCTCATGAAACTGAAGTTTGAAACTTGGGTCTGTGTGTTGGCACTGTTTTTCCAAGTTCAAATTTTTATGGCTTGTGTTGTGTCGATGACTGAACAACAACATCTTTGTTACTTTTCAGGATGTGGGAACCCCCTGAATCTAACGGGGCGTTTCTGTCGAAACATCGACATAATCAAGAACTTGAAGTGGTGTCAGGGGATTGTGCTACTAAAAAGGCATGGTTTACTCACATTGAATTTTTCAGTTCCATTTTCACGTGTTTTAAATTATGATCCATGATTTTGAAATCTATGGGGGTGTTTTGGAATGTGTCACATGCAGCCTGTGCAGGATAAGGATGTAATCAGTGAAGTATACAAAACCCATGAGGCCATTCAGTGAGTGCTAAGAGGAATATGTTTCCATTTTGGTTGGATTTTCTTGCAATTTACAATTGAAGTGTTTGTTGAATAATTGGTTTTTTTCTTTCTTTTGAGGGGTGTCAGATCTCTAGACAAGCAAGTTTCCATGCTTCAGATGGAGCTGGCAGCAGCAAGGAGTACTCGAGAACCTGAGATCTCGGATGGTTTGGCTAACACCTTGGCTTCGGAGGTCTCCACTGAAGGCCCTCCCAAGAAGAAGGTGTTTGTAGTGATTGGCATAAACACTGCTTTCAGTAGCAGGAAGCGGCGAGATTCAGTTAGAGAGACTTGGATGCCTCAAGGTATCTTATGCTTCTAAAATTCTAATGCAAATTGTTTTAGTCTAGAGTCTGTTTAAATACAAGTTAAAAGTGTTTCTAAGAGTTTCTCTACCAGAAAAAACTTTATTTTCAGTGAAAAGTTCTTCTAAGTTTGTATTCAAACAAATTATTAATCAAAATGGTGATGGACTAATTTGTAACAAGTTATGGTTTTGGCTCTCCCTCTTGATCAGGAGAACAGCTTATTCAATTGGAACGTGAGAAGGGAATTGTCATTAGATTCATGATTGGTCACAGGTGATTTCTTGTGGGATTTTGATTGTGATAATATAACATGAAATTATCATCAAAATAAAGTATGGTGTGATTGTGTGAATCAAGAGAGGAGAGAGTTACAATAATGCCTTAAGTGACTAATGAAATTATGGTTTTATCCATAATTCCATCCAATGTGAAGATATTTGAAGTTTCTTTTGTTGTGTGAAACACTGGTGTTTGTTATTTTTGTTAGTATGATAACACGAAAAGATTGTTCCTTGTTTGATATAACAATATTACTTCACTCGATTACGATCTTATCTGACTGCTAGGTCCTAAAATGAGCCAAAAATATGGTCACGTAACACATTTTTAATCCTTACCTTGAAGAACAGTTATTGGTTACCAATTGCAGCAGAATCTCTGTGTAACCCTTTACATTTTCTAATAAAATTAATCACACAATCTCATGTTGAGATGAGATGGTTTACTAGTATAATAGTATTCTATGATGGTAAATGATCAAACTCATTATTGATTCTTGACAGCATATCTGTTAGAGAAGATATCCTTCCTTTGAAGTTTCATTGCATATTTGTTGTTGCTTATTTTACTTCAAATATGAAGACTTAGTAATGTTAGGGAGCATGATTTCAAAATCCCGTGTTAATTGGAAATCATTTGGCAGAAGTAAGCTAGAATTGTGAGTCTCTGCTGCACTATAATTTTCATGAAAGTTTCGTAGGAGCTGACCTTGTTGACCATGAAGTATGTGGAAAATTGTTTGTGTTCATTATAGGTTCAGCTTGTGATGGTCTTATTCTTTGTATTATTAAAGTGATCCTTGCTCCTCATAACCAGAATCCATGTTTCCATTAAAAAATACAATGTCAAGAGTTTAGACTTGGAAACCTTAAAAGTTGAAAACATCTTAAAATGCAAGTTGTGACATGGTTGGGCTTATGAGGTCTCAATTGTTGATGAATTCACGGAGAAACAGATTCCTTTCTGTTTAATCTAGACAGTTCTGAAGGCTGAAGGGTAGTAATTAGAAATTCAATTTCTTCACCTTTGATACCATAGAGATGTTTTTATTCTTTTCTCCAAATCAACATTCTTATGAACCCGCACAAAATGATTTTCTTATTACTGTAGTTGAAGATAGAGATATGATTGAATCGGATGCACTGTCACGCTTAAAGAACTGACATGAATGATATTGTCATTGTTTGTCCCAGTGCAACTTCTAACAGCATTCTAGATCGAGCTATTGATTCAGAAGAAGCCCAGCACAAAGACTTCCTTCGCCTGGTAAAGCATATCATTAGAACTGTTTATGTGAGATAAATTTGGATAATCTAGCAGGATTATGATATTGTTTATTCATTTTGTAGGAACATGTTGAAGGGTATCATGAATTGTCTGCAAAGACAAAAATTTTCTTCTCTACAGCAGTTGCAAAATGGGATGCTGATTTCTACGTAAAAGTGGATGATGATGTGCATGTCAATTTAGGTATGTGCTTTCTCAACATTCTCGACATTTTTCATGTCTCCATGCCATTGTTTCCTTCACCACTTTCCTCCATTCCCCTCACAATCAAGGTTTGATCTAACAACTTCTACGATGTAGGCGTACTTGCAACAACCCTTGCTCGTCACCGTTCAAAACCCAGGGTCTACATTGGATGTATGAAATCTGGACCTGTTCTTTCTCGAAAGTAATTCCACTGGACTGATATTTGGTCATTCAATGATCCTCATTGTGACTTTGTAATTATCTGATTTTTTTTTCTTCATATTCTAGGGATGTTAAGTATCATGAACCTGAGTTTTGGAAATTTGGAGAAGAAGGGAACAAATACTTCCGACATGCAACTGGGCAGATCTATGCAATCTCTAAGGATCTAGCCACCTACATTTCCATTAACCAGTATGAATACCTTTTTTCCATGCAGTGTTTAATTATTAACTAGCTACCTATTTAGCTAATTAGACCATACAACGCTGATTAATGGATGATCAAGAATAGATTTAAGTTGAACTGTTTTAATCATTTAAGTCAGTTGTATGGTCAAGACAAATTCTTCTAAAATTCTCACTAGATTCATCCATATATATGAAGAAACATTTTTAATGTGAAATTAATTGCCATCCCAGACTTTATAGTTCTGCCGATGCCAATAAAAAAGTTAAATAAATTTGAGTTAGTTAAGAAGTGCTTTTTATTCTAGCTCATAGATCAGTCAAAGTTTGACGGGGATCCTAATTTTGACTACAGGCCAATATTGCACAAATATGCCAATGAAGATGTGTCACTTGGTGCATGGTTCATAGGTCTAGAAGTTGAGCACATAGATGACCGCAGTATGTGCTGTGGAACTCCTCCAGGTATGGTATCTGAAAATTCTGAAAAATACAGAAGGCCTGATGAACTTTTTCATAAACTAAAATTAGATAATACATAACTTAAAAAAATATTTTTAGAAAAGTCAATATGAAAAAGTTTCTATAAAATTAGCTTATATATAAGCTAATTTTATCTTATGGGGAAATTAATTTCATTTCACTTTCTTATTTTCTGTTTAAGTGTTTCTGGATAAATTTGTCCAATCAGACCTAAAATCTATATTTATTCAAGTAATTCTAGAAGTTCTGGCATTTATAATGTATTTTGGTGTCATTAGATGATTCTCATGAAACTTTATTTCTAACCTAATATTGTTTGTGTAGACTGTGAGTGGAAGGCACAAGCAGGTAACATATGTGTTGCATCCTTTGACTGGAGCTGCAGTGGAATCTGCAAGTCAGTGGAGAAGATCAAATTTGTGCATTCAAAGTGTGGTGAAGGAGATGGAGCTGTTTGGAGTGCTTTATTTTAGGTTAGGTTGGTTCAATGGAAAACCAACTGATTCACGTGTTGGCATGCATACCTCCCGGTCTTGTTTTTGAGTGTGGGAGGATATGATGATAACTATACTAGGTATTTTGTAGCATTGGCCTCTTTCTTACATAATGTATATTTTTATATTTTTGTTCCTTTAATCCTTTTGTGCAAGGTCAATTTTCAATGTAGGATACTGAAGAGCAATGAATTGATAGTAATGATGATTCCTTTGGTGATAATATGAATTGTGAAGTCACTTTATTTTTTTCTGCTAATATTTTATTTTATCCATTAAAATTTCATCAACGATTTTAAAGTTTGAAAATCATAACTTTTTTTAAAAAAAATTTAACATATTATTTTAAATTCACCACTAAGTCGGTTTTAATGATTCTTTCTCTACTAATATGAAATCACAAGTTTCAAAATAAGTAATATTTAGATTAAGATTTAATTACATGAACTATTTCAAAAATAAAATTAAATAAGTTTCTGTATTTTAAAAGAAATATAATTGATTCTTTAAAATTATAAATCAATTTGTAATTGGGTTTCTTAAGCACGGTTTCATTAAAGTAGACGGAATTTTTTAACCAAGTTATATAAATTTTAATAACAGACTTATTTAAAATCTTTAAAATTCTTCGGTAGTTGCATTTTACACTATTTTTTTTAACTAATTGTATCATTTCTTGTTTTTTAATGATTATTTGAAAATAACGAGAATGTAATTTTTTTCTTCTGAAATTTTAATTTTAAAAGAGTATTTAATACATTCTTAATTAATGTTTAGAGAGGATATTTAAACAATATTCTGAAATTTTTATCTTGAAACATGTTAATAGCTCTCTCAGAATTATGTTTTTGAAATTCAAAATTAAATGTCTAGAAATAATTTGTACATTACTTAGGGGGGCTGGTTCATTGGGGCCCCACTAGATGAGTAGGGGCTTGAGGAAGCCTGCTTTTTGTCCCCACAGAGAGATCCAAGCCAGTTTTAAATCAAAATCAATTCCAATAAATTCTAGAAAGGAAAGAGAAAACACAAGGTTGGATTTAACGTTTGGAAATCATTAAATGAAAACAACTCCAACTTCAAGTTAGTTGATATACATGTATAATAAATTATAAATATGTTAAAAAAAAATTTCATGAACAACTAAATTATTTAGTTAATCTTTACTCGCTTTAGACAACTCATACAAATCATCTTTGGGTGAAAAGAAACTATGCATATCCCGTTGAAAGTGTTAACTTTGTATGAGAACTTGATTATTGGATATTTGGATGTGGATTTGTTAAATGTTGCGTAGCACATCAAGAAAATAGCTTATGCTTCTTTGACAAGAGTGGGTACTGAATGGCACCACCGCATTGTCTCCTATATGTTACAGTTTTATTCCCTTAATAATGCAAACAAGTTATGGAGCACGAGCACCACTCCTCATCACCCAACCACATGTATTAACTACTCCTTCCGGCTTATTATAAGCATAGTTTATTTAGATCATATCATAGTTTTTGGAAAATATTTTTTTCTTATTAAAGATTTAAGATTATCGGATTATATGTTTTTCTTTCTCAGTTTTCAAACCCTCTTCAATATAATTTACATTTCCCATTTTGTTGGTATATCTATATGAGAGTATAGTAGTAATCTTCTTCTCGTATCTTGAAGGTTGGCCAGGAACTCCGAGTTACAATATTAAGAGGGGAGATACCTGCAAAAAGCACTCTAACGCTCAAGTCATGATAAGCATGAATATCGATAATAGTAATAAATGAACTGTAACAATACCTCGTTTTGTGTGACTATTTATACTAATCATATTAGACTCAGGTTTGGTGGACCTCATTCCATGATTGCCAAATTAGGTAATGTGATGACTAATGACAGATTATCCTTTAACCTTCTAGTTGTCTTTACTAATCGTAATTAGCATAAACTAACCATGTCGTTGTCTCGGCTCTGTCGACCCTCGGCTAGACTGAAAGGATGTGGGTCGTTTGGTATACTCGAGCGTATCAGCCATGTCATTGACTGAGACACCCGAGCTCTTACATGGGGCGGGATTGGTGTCTCGATTATGGGTATTATCGAGAGGACTTTGAGGGAATTACTAAGGTATTGTAATGCGCGAGCGTTCGACTGTCTCGGCTACCAGTATGGTCAAGACAATATGGCTAAATAGTTGAAGGGATCATTCAGATAGAATCGAAATGTATGTGTGTTTGACTGTTGATGTGACTAAGACAGGTACGCGATGAAGTAACTAGATAAATGATCATGTCATGCCACATGTTATTTCGGTACAATTGGTATTGAAACATAAACTTTAATATGAAATAATATCTTCATTTCACTCAATTTTATTTCTCAAATTATATAATTGGTGTGAAGCAATGGCTAGGCATAATTAACCTACAATAGGGGTGTACAAAAAATTCAAATCGATTTGAATCGATCCATATTGAAAAATCCGATCCATTTTAAAAAATAATCCAAAGTGATTCACTTTATAAAATCAGTTCAGTTATCCGATCCATTTTTACAAAGTGAATTTGTTCAGTTCAGTTTGATTTTTTAAAAAAACCGATCCATATATTAGTAAAAAATAGATAATTATACTGTACTGAACTGATCTAATTTAAAAAAAATCGATCCATATTTTAAAAAAACTAAACTAATCTATTTTATAAAAAGTAAATTAATTAACCAATCTACTTTTATAAAACGATTTCATTTAAATTTTTTAAAAATTCAATCTATGAACATCAACGTAAGTTTTAAACCCTGCGAAAGGGAAAGCGAAATCTTTAGCAGTAGCATTGGATCAATGAATTGGGTACCTTGAATGAATAGCATATAAAAGTACGTGTGGCCTACCAAACACATGGCCCTCGGTCACTGAAAAGTGTGTCCTCCGGTTTCACGACACTCTTTGGAAATAGCTATGCTTAGAAATTACTACGAGGTTCACTTTCCCTGGTCCCATCCCTGTTTTACTTTACTTATGTGCTTTATCAACAAATGTTAATCATCTTTTTTGCCACTTCCATTTCCCCTTTTTCTCTTCCAAACTTTTTTTTTATGAGACTTTCATTATTTTTTTTCTCTTCCCTTTTCAGTCTTTTTTACTTTATATTTTGTGATAAATGAATAATCTAAAACTTTAAGAGAAAAATACACGAATAGTTATATTTTTCTATCCCCAACGCGCTATTTTACAGTATAAGATAAATCACGTATAATTCCTAAGGTTATCTTTAAGCCATAACCCGATTATCTTAAAAACTCAATTTATTATATTAAGATTGTATGAATCTTTTACATTGCATCTATAATACATGTTGGGATAGAAGGCGTGTCTCCCTGTCACGAGGGAGGTCATGATGGAGCGGCAGTGTAAGCACTTAGAGTGTAAGTGAGCTTTGTGGACCACCATCAGATAATACTCGTAGTTTCCACCGCAGGAAATGGGTTAAACCGTGGTCCTTTGTTTGAGGGGAGGATTGTTAGGAGGTCATCATGAGGGAGTAGAGCTGTCAAAACGGGTCAGTCCGGCCCATGTGGGCCGGCCCACCTTGACCCACTTTAAAAACGAGCCAACCCAACCCGGTCCACTTTTGATTTTCTTAAAAAAAAATTGGCCCGGCTCGACCCACCACAAGTTGGTGGATTATACGAGCCAGCCCACCAGCTCACCAAAAATTAAAAAAAAATTATCAACAAAATTCAAAATTTTAAATTAATTATAAATTAACATAATAGTCATAAAATTAGCACCATTAATAGTCATAAGTCATAACTCATCATACAAAATTAAATACAAATCATGATAAAAGTCTAAAATAAAATTTTTTAATATCGCATCATACAAAATTAACTACAAATCATACTTAAATTTTTATTGCAAAAAAAAAATGGTGGGTTGGTGGGCTACCTGGCCCACCACGGGTTTAGCTCGGGTGGGCCGGGTCAAAATGGGTCGGGTTGAGATATATCCACTTACTATAAAACTTCAATTTTTTTTGGCCCGGCCCGGTTCGTTTTCAAGGTGGGCCGGGTTGGCCCACGGGTCCCAACCCACTTTGACGGCTCTATGAGGGAGGTCATGATGGAGCGGCAGTGCAAGCACTCAGAATGTGAGTGAGCTTTATGGGCCACCATCGGATAATACTCGTAGTTTCCGCTGCAGGGGATGGTTTAAACCGTGGTCCTTTGTTTGAGGGGAGGATTGTTGGAATGCAAGCAAAGTTCCACATCGAACTTTGTGGGCCACCATATGGGTTAAACTGTGATCCTTTGTTTGAGGGGAGGATTGTTGGGATGCAAGTAAAGTCCTACATCGTTCAAACAAGAGGATGTACATGAGTTTATATACACATAATTGTCTTCATTAGTTGAGAGACCTTTTGGGTGATGTTCAAAAACAAAATCGTGAAAGCTTGGACCTAAAGCGGACAATATCTCATTAATGTGTATACCTATGGTAACCCCGATGCTCATAAATACATTTATTTTTAGGCACGACTGGTGGATTTTATGTCCTTTTGTGCCTTCAATTTTACTTATACGAATGAGTAGAGTGAATAAAGAGAAAGTTGCTTGCTTCTATTAGTGTTTAGCCATGACAATATAAAACAATGGAAAAAATAATAATAATGAGAGATGGAATTGATATGACCAAAAGCTAAAAATTAAGAAAGTGTGTGACACATGACATGACCCTGTTGAAAATTTTATGACCCTAGGGCCCATTCTATTTGAATGCGAGTTTGATCCCCGCAAATGTGTCAATTTGATGGTTGCAAAATGCTTTTACATAGCTTGAAATGATGTGAATGAAATCCTGGTCCATATATCATCAACTGAATCACAATTTCTATTTACTTGACATGGTATTTTAAGATATCAATTAAAAAAGTGTTCACTTTTTGATAAACAAATTAAGGCATCCCCCTATGTTATATAAAGTGTCCAAATTCATTGGTCATAACAATATTTTATTTAACACATTTTTTTTAAAAGTCAAATTCTATATATAATCAAAATCTAAAAAATATTAGCTTTTAAATTAAACTTATAGTCTATGTTGATATATTAAGTTTATTTCCGTTCCTGAAAAAATATATATTTATTTATCATTTCTCTAAAAATTTAAAATCATGTATAGCCAATGTGAAATGAATTAATTTTATTTTTGACTACTATAAAATATTTTTTTAATTTTAATTT